CACCGACAGTTGCCTTCCACTGTCGGTGCTGTTGTGTTCTGGTGACTGCCGCTAGAGGGGCCTGTGTGTGCTGAATGGGCAGTAGGCCTCGGACAGACAGATGGGCGGGCATGGGCTCCTTCCGTGCACTGGGAGGGCGCACACAGGCATGCGTTGGCCGGGGTCTCTGCACAGTGGAGGACTCGACTCCACTACCTGGACAGCAGAGAGCTCCTGAGGGGGACCAGCAGGTGGCGTAATGGCTATGTCACTGGACTCCCATGTAGTCGACTGCGGTTCAAGTCCCGGACCCGGTGGCTTAGACACACCAGGCATGTGTGTGTGCGTGCGTGCCCAAGATCCCAAGAGGAGAAAGGAGGAGAAGGGATTGCGGCGTGGCCATCCCCCCTGGGGGGTGATTTCTCGCTTTCTGGCTCTCTCTCTCTCTCTGTGTCTCTCCGGCAAACGCCTGAGCCCTATAGCAAAAACCTCTCCAAAAAAAAGCTGAAGAGCTCCTGAGGGCTGCCGAGGTGGGCCTGGAAGGGGGGGTGATGGGGCAGCGTGGTCCAGCCCCACTGCTGTCAGTGAGCTGAGGAGCCCACCTGCTCTTCACATGAGGGAATGAGCAGGGCCCAGGCTCTTCGTGTCTTCAGGAGTGAGGTGTCATGAAGCCTGAGGCTGGGTAGGGACATGCTGTCCACGTAACAGCTGCTGCCATGTGGACAGATTGAGTAGGTGGTGTGGCCTGGGCTTGATCTGCAGAGCTCTGGCAAGGCATGCCGTGCCGGCTGCGAGTGAACAACTGAGGGCCACGGAGACCTGGCCGTTCAGGACCAGCATGGCGAGGACCGGCTGAGCCAGGTCGAGGGAGCCTGCTTTCCTGATGTGAGACGTGGAGACCTCATGGACCAGGGCACCGCCTGACTTACCGTCCACGTTGGGAGGTTTTCCAGTAAGAGGCAGCTGCAGACTACAAGCCGAGGCCACGGGCAGGCCAGCCAGGCCGTCCCCCGCGTAGTGACTGGTGGGTGCCAGGGAGAAATAATAAATCTGCCGGCTTCCTTGAACTTGGGGAGAAGGTGCCAGTGTGTGCCAGGAAGAGTGCAAGTGAGCAGCCCGCAGGATGCCCCACCAGAGCTCTGGCTCCCCCGTCAGCGCGCACATGTACCTGGCATGTTTCAGACAAACCGCTTGGTTGGCTGTACGGGATCCAGCCGTTTAACTGCCACGCCAACAGCTGGCAAGCTTGCAGGCTTGCCTTCTCCACGCTCCTTAGCCTGGGCATGGGCAGCCCTCAGCATGGGGCGACTACTCCCTCCTACAGCCTTGGGGTCCCAATGAGCCAGGGTCAGGGATGTGACTGCCTGTCTTGCCAGCTGCCCTTGAGGACTCTGCAGCTGCTGAGGGAGGCGCCCTTTTTTCCCCCTGGCACCCCCCTCTGCCCGAGGTTGAAGGAGCTGCTGGCCTTGGGGAGGCGGCAACACCTTTAGGAGTCAGAGCCCTTCCAGGGCTGGCTGCATGCCAAGGTGCCATCAAACCCCATGCAGCTGAGCCAGAGACTCCTGCACATGCTCCCGTGAGGCTGCTGCCACCGCACTCTCCATGGGTGGCATGAGCGGGACTACACAGGGCTCCTGCCAGCCTGCCAGGTGGCCCTGTCTCAGCAGCAGGGTCACGACCTGATGACTTCTTGTTCTTGTTTTAGCAAGCTGGTAGTCTGTCAGGGACACTCGGACCCCAGGAGGACTGGCGCATGCCACGGCAAAGATAGGTGCACAGTCCCCGTCCATGTCTGCGAGGGCCTGTGCCCTGCGCTGCCACCATTCTGTGGGGAGCACAGCTGTCCCTTCGCCATTTTCCTCTCGGGAGCTTGGGCATGCATGCACTCGTGCCCAGCGTGAATTTAAGCCGCCGGGTCCAGGACTCAAACCGCAGTCAGCTACATGAGAGTCCAGTTATGTAGCCATCATGCTATCTGCTGGTCCCATTTATTGTTATTTTTAAATTTCCTATGGGGCACATGTGAGAGAGGAAGCCAGCTGCCAGGTCCCAGACTCACCTTGGTCAGTCACGCCCTAACCACCACACCACCTGCTGGCCCCAGGATCCATCACTTTTTGATTAGCACATTTACGCTGTGCAATGGAGCTTCTCAAAACTAGTTTAATCACAAAAGTAGAATTAAATCACCAAAAAAGAGTGCACGCCAAGTCACCTGCCCATGACTCTGCCTACAGCCACACGGGAGTCCAGCGATGGGGCTATTATGCCATCTGCTGGTTCCTCTAGCAAATCGTTTTAAAATACAGGGCGGGGATCAGCTTGTGGCGTGGTGGTTAAGGGCACTAGACTCCCCACATGGCCAACCGTGGTTCAAGTCCAATGGTGGCTCACTTTCTCACCTCTCCCTCCCCATCCCCGTCAAATTTAAAGAAAGAAAGAAAGAAAAAGACATGGGTGGGACCAGGAGGGACATAGTGGTTACAGTGCTGGACTCCCACATGGCCGACCACGGTTTGAGTCCTGGATTTGGTGGCTTGAAACAAGCCTGGTATGTGCACGTGTGCCCAAAATCCCAAAAGGAAAAGGGACTGTGCATAGCCATCCCCGTTGGGGTGGTGACTCCCCGCTCTTTCTCTTGTCTCTACAGCGGGCATACACACCCTATAGAATAATCTCTTGGGACCAGCAGTTAGCATAATGGCTGTGTCACT